AAAAGAAAAGAAAAGAAAAGAAAAGAAAAGAAAAGAAAAGAAAAGAAAAGAAAAGAAAAGAAAAGAAAAGAAAAGAAAAGAAAAGAAAAGAAAAGGACTCGCTGATTTCCAGTGGCCTGGGTGCAACCCCCCCTTGCCATCTGTTTCCCAAGCGCCCCCTCCCCACCCCCGCCTCCCACCCGCATCTGCAGCCCACCCTACCTCGCTGCCAGCAGCCCAAATCACCTGGATCGGCTGCCTCGGGAAGGAGCAGCTCCCGGCGACGCGTCTCCCTGGCTGCCCCAGCAGGGAAAAAACATCCGAGACGGGCAGCGACCTCCTCCCGGCAGGCGAGCAGTCCAAGTGGCTTCTTTTGCAGCCCCATCTGCCTCCCCGACAATCTGGTTTAGGTTACAGGAGGTGTTTCCGAAGCCGCTTTACCCCGCTCGGGGTCAGCTTCCCCCGTCCCTTCCCAAGCACAGGGCCAGCAGGTCTGAAAGTTTGGAGCCCGCTTTGAGTCCGCATCCAGCTCTGTTCCGTGCGCCTCATTTTTACTCCTCAAAGAGGTGTCAGACTCGCTTACATCCATTTACATTTTTAAAAATGTTTTCAATTTCCTCCCTCTCTCCCTACCTATGTCTCGCCCTGCTTCTGTGTCTGCTAGGGGGAATAAATAAATAAATAAATAAATAAATAAATAAATAATCGAAGGGGGTGTGTGGCTCGGGGCTTGGGGGCATTTTTGCAAGAGGCGCTGCCTCCCCTCCTCGACCGCTCCGCGTGGCGCGCAGGGAGCGCGCACGGGCGGGCGCAGGGTCCTGGGCCCCGCCGCGGCTCCGCGCTGCCCTGGGCTCCCTCTCTCCCGTCTGCCCACGCAGGACGCGGGCTCGGGCCCACGCGAGTGCCCAGCGCTGCACAAACGCGCCCTGCTCCGCGCGGGAGAGGGCGGACCCGCGTGCAGCGCTGTGGGCGCCCGCCCTGCACCGCTGCGCACCCGCGCATGTATTCAGCATTCTCGCGTGGGGCCGCGCGTGGGCTTGTGTGGGCAGCAGTGCCCACGGGCCCCTTCCCCGCTCTGCCCCGGCCGCGGGCGCCGCTGCGGAGCCCGGCGGGCCCGTATCGAGCCCTTCGCTGGTGGCGCAGGTGCTGTGGGCAGCGTCGCGCGTGGGAGGGGGCTCAGCTGGGCCCCCACGGAACAGGGTCCGCAGCAGCCCCCGAAACAGCGGAGAGCCCAGGGGAAGGAGCCGGGACCGAGGGCTCCGCCGGCCGCTGCCCGGGCCCGGCCCGACGGAGCGGCCTGGGCCGGGCCGCGCTGCAGGCAGCGGGAGCCGGGGAAGGGGGGAGCCCTTTGTGCTGGTGCCCTCCTTTGTTCTGGATTTAACTTGACCAGAGGGGCCGGGAAGTGCTATTTTATTATTACTTATTTATTTATTTATATATTTAAGAGGCGCGGAGGGGGCTCCTGGGTCACCGTCGGGGAGGTGGCTGGGGAATCGGACACGGAGCTGCCGCTCGAGGAGAGATTTCGTTGCAGGCGCTTATTTCTGCACCGTTTCTGGCAACTTTGGGCGTTAGTTAGCCGTGTTGCTGCTGCGCCTCTCTGTTCATCTCTTCCCAAGGAGAGAAAACGGTGTGCATATGGCTAAAATGCAGCCAGAGGAAATAATCAGCTTTAAAAGCAGGGGAGTTTTGCCTTTTTTTGCCTACTTTTTTATCTAAGGGGTGTGTGGAGCAGGGCAAGGGGCAGAGAGTAAAGCAAAATAAGTCTATCGCCTGGAGAAATGATGCAATGTTACTGCTGCCCAGTGGCAGTAACCGGAATTGGGTCATTTTAGGGACAAATGCCAGCAAAATTCAAGTCACGTCCACTTTGGATATAAGGATGTGTCCTCTTTAAAAATTGTTATGCAAAAGACTCTCGTACGTGATCCTCTTGCGATAAAAAGCAGCAAGCCAAATATTGGAGCCCAAGTCAATAATGTATGAGTAGATTAAAGAATCTCTCTCCCAGGCAATTATTTCAGCAATCGAAAACCTTGCTCTCCAAAATTTTCGAAAATTATAATAATAATAATAGCAAAAGCAAATAAAGCCAAGCGCAACTGCTATGACCTCTTGCTTTTCACTCCTTGTTTAAGATGGGCGAATGTGTTTTTTTAATTTTTATTTTATATTTTTTTTTTTCCCAGTCAAGAAGAGCAGCCGAGAAGGTATTTTGAACAACAGAAGGAGCCGGGAAAAAAATCGTAATACTCTACGGCTCTCTGGACTAATTGGGCATATCACGGGGCCGCCGGCATGTCTGTATTTATTTGTCTTTAAAACCCCGGTAAAATTAAGTTTCGGGCCCTGCGGTTCTAACAAAAGGTGCTAGGAAGCAGCGGGGGTGTCCTAGGTGGGGGTCCGGGGGGAAGCGGGTTTAACGCCGGTTTGAGAGGTGAGCGGGGGAGGCCGGAGGGAGCGCACCGCGCTGCGCCGGGGCCGGAGCGGGGCTGGAACCGGGGCCGGAGCCGGAGCTGGAACCGGGGCCGGAGCGGGGCTGGAACCGGGGCCGGAGCCGGAGCTGGAACCGGGGCCGGAGCGGGGCTGGAACCGGGGCCGGGGCCGGGGCCGGAGCGGGTCTCGCTGCTGCCGAACCGCGGGGAGGAAACCCGCCCGAGGTGGGGTTGGCTTTGTGCATTTACCTCTGGCTCTGCACTAAAAACTTCCCCTTTCCCCCATTTCCTCTCTTTTATTTATTTTTTTTATTCTTCAGTTCTGATCTTGGTCTTAATTTTGTCAGGGTGGCAACAACTAGAAATGGAACCGTTCTTGTGGCAAAAGGAGAGAAGAGGTATCCAATGAGGTGCCAAAAGCAAGGGATCCGGACTTCCCACAGGCAATTTCCAGACATCCTGGAAGCAACTAGCCTACGTCCCTTCCCAGGAGGAGCCATGAACTTTCTGACGTGTGGGGGACAGGGCTATGAACCCACCTGGGATGCAGCACGAGGAAGACGTGCCATGCCTTGGAAGCACTGGAAGAGGTGCCACCTGCAAGGCACATTCGCAGCCAGCACCCCAGGCYGATCCACCACACCAAGAGCCTTGTCCAAGACACACCACGGGAAAACAGAAACACTCCATAGCCTGGCACTTCACCKGCACACCCAGCCCTGCAGCCAAATCCCACAGCCCTCTCCAGACAGCAGCCCCGCATTCCTGAGCTAGACAAATGATGAAAAAGTTCCAGTTCCTGTCTAATGAAAGGCCTCCATCTCCCTTCCCCCAGAGGTTTCCGATGCACATATAATTAGCTCTCAATATTTCATGAATATGGGGTTTTACTAATTCTTTTTCACTCAGGAGACTTGGCGTTTGCAGCTTTGTGTCATTGCATGGGAAGCCCTGGCACTGACAAGGGTGGTTAGGGCATGGAGCCGGATCCTGCCTGCCGTATGGATGCACAATATCCCTCGTGCCAGGCAACCAGAGGTGCCGAATGGCAGACCAAGGTCCTCTCCATGCAGCAAATCCAGTGTACTGTGGGATTTCAGTCTTTGAGGGCAAAGACTTTCTGCATAGGGAGTATTTCAGGAGGAGGTCTTTGCATCTGAATCTACCACATGTGGAGGGAAATCAGTATCTCCTGACCAATAAAACTGACGACCTTAGGAAAATCAGGGGCTCAAAGTAGAGTCAAATGCCACCAAGAAATGCCCTACTAAATCCTGATTTTTTTGCAATTTTTTCCTTATGCCATCACCCACATGCAATATCGGGACCCGCAATATCTCACCTCTGTTTGCAGACACTTGTGCTGCGCTAAAATCTGGAGAGGAAAAATAATCCTTCAGAAGTTGTTCTTCAGAAGCTGCAAGGAGGACCATCAATGGGTCAAATTTTGCTGGTGTGTCTGTACAGCAACAGTCATTCTTCCTCCAATCATGTCATTAGACACTGAGTACATAATTTTTATTATTATTTTTGATCGTTTTTCATGCTGTTCATATCATATGTGCCTCAAATACGGAGCTGTAACAAGAGTTTAGTCCCCGGGGAGTTCTCCTAAACACACTATAAGAATAGAGTTTGGTCCTGCCGTCCCAGTGGATTTGGACTAATAGGGTTTTCACAGTATTGTGTTATTGCCAAGCACTAGCACGCAGAGGATGAGCTTCAGTAAAGGCACCCCACAGCCAGAAACATCTCATTAAAAATCCCATTATCCCCATAATTTTGGTTATGATTAATTTAAATGACTGCCTTGTGATTTGTAGGAAGGAAAACAAATGCTGAAAGAAACGATGTTTGGGATCATTGAGCCCGGTGGCCAATGAGGTTTTATTTAGTGCATGTTTTTAGTTGGACACTGAAGAGGCTTCCCAGTTTACAGCAACCGCTGTCTCTGAACGTGGTCCATTGAAAGATAGCTTTGTTTTCTCCTGTAAAACGCTGTGAGTCATCGGTTATGGTGCTGGGCTAGTGCTTTGCCTGTTTCTTAATAACAGCGTTGGCCTGAGCTGGGCCTTCCCACCCTGCAATTCCCCGGTTGTTTACTYGGAGGTTGCGATCGGAGAGGAGTTCCCGCGTGAGCCCTGAGTCACGGCCCCGGGTCCTCGCCATGTGTCGAGGCGGTGATGAACGTCGGGGCTTCCCGCATGCTGGAACCATCGTAGATGGTGCAATCCCATAGGAGTTGGTGTATTTTGAAACCATAAACCCAGGCACATTTTGAGAGAAAGCCAGGCCTGCGTGGCTCTTCTTTCCAGGATCCTCTGTGCCTCCGAAGACCTTCCCAGGAGGTGCAGAGCATCTCCTGCCAGACCCTCACGAGTGACTTGTATGCTTGAACATGCTCTCCAATGTGCATATTGCCCTGTTCTTCCAGCACCTTCAAAAATCACCAGTGCTTTTAATCCACCCACAATTTACTGACCCACGTCTCTCCTACGAGTCAGGAGGAAGGACCCTGGGTGCAGCCTCATGGTTGCCCCTCAACTGGGGGAACCAGTGATGAAGAGGAGGTTTCGGGGAGGGTGGCTTTGAAACCAGGCTTACACTGTGCAGCTGGGGTCAACTCTCTTCACGGCTGCAAATGGGCCCCTTTCCTGGGGTTATTAATGCCTTTTTTTTTTTTTTTTTTTTCCTCCACAAATGCTGGTTTCCAGAGACATCTTGTGGCTCTCGCTGGCTATCACAGCTGAGCCGCTGCACGTCCAAGCCTGTTTCAGTCTCCCAACTTTTTCTTTTTACAGCAAAGCTGCCGGGTTAAGACGCTTGCCGCTGGCTCCCTTGACGCTATTTCTCATACTTGGATTTGCACCTTTAGGGGAATGTCCTCTCAGATGTATCTCAGCCTTGGGTATGYGGTAGGGCAGGAGGGAAGTTGTCTTCCGGCGCCTTTTCGGACAATGTGAGAGGGACAATTCCCCCTTGGCTGCCTGGAGASGGATCCCTTTGGAAAGGGGATGGCTGGGAGCCCGTGACCCCAGCAGTCCCATCCATGTCCCCATGCTGACTTGCACCATCCTGGTCCATGGCAAACAAGGCACAGTGTTGGGGCACTAAAGCCCCTCAGCAGCAGTGGGTTATTTCCAGACTCATTAATAAATGCTGTATTTGGGGGCAACCTCGTTGCTTTTCTGTGAGAGTCCCTCTCCCCTGGGCCACAATGGAAGGGGTCTCAGGCAATTTGGGCACCTCAGCAGGGCCACTCTGTGCACCGAGTGCTGCAGGATCCATCTGCCCTGCACCCACCTAATCCTCATGCCTCTCCATGGAAAGACAGTGGCTCCCGCTGCGTTATCTATGCTGGAAAAACTTTTCCTCCCCGTCTAGCCAGGGATTCCCTTCGTGTTGCGCAGCGAGCTGCAATGTGATTTTTAACGTGTATCCCGTGTCCACACGGACTCTTGCTGGGACCAAGCCATATATGTAATCTACACTTTCCCACTGGTGTATAATTTTCTTGGCATCTTCCTTGCAACAGGTGGGCTGAAATGTAAGGCAACATAATGTGACTGCTTCGCTGCTGCCTAAGAAGAAGGATTTACTGCAGAAGACACATTGCTTACAGTTTTATGGAGATTTCTTATCTAAAGCCATGTAACACCCTATGGCGGGGGTCCACAGACTCGAGAAAGTCTCAGAACATCCAAACAAATGTTTTCGAGCAGGAAGGGAGCCAAGTTACCATTTCTGCGCACAAAACCAGGACGCTGTGATGGGAAATCTTAGCTGAGCTCACATGGTGCTGCAGCCCCATTTCGCCTGTCTGTGGTCCAAAGAATCTTACATAATTCATCCCGATCTGGATGATAGCATCTATTCCCAATGAAAAATGACTTCCCAGGTGGCCAGCACAATGGCTGGCTGTGCTGGATCAGACAGCTTGCTGCCCTCAACGTCCTCGAGCTAATCGGCRGCGTCTCCGAGCAAGGAGCAGCTAAGCCCTTGACACGGCTTCTGTAARGACAGCCACAAAGCCAGCAAAAGCCCCGGGTGAGGGGCTCTGCCCCACCGCCTGCCACCCACCCCACGGGTCAGCAGGTTGGTACGCAGATAGGGACCAGCCTCACCAGCCCAGCCCCGGACAACAGCAAGGAAATACTAATAAATCTTAATCAGAGTGATAAATGGTAAAACATGACATATAGTAGGACATGTGGGTTGGGATTGAGCCTGTGAGCCCCTGTTCCCACTGTGCTGCCTCTACTGATGGAGCCCACGTCAGACAGCTGAGCTCACCCCACAGCAGTGCTGGCCACACAAGTCTTATCCGAGTAATACCTGCTTATTAGTAACTTTTGCTGTTGAGATGAGACTCAATGGTGGTTGCTTTTTTGGTGAGGGTGAACTGCTCAATCACGTAAAACCTCGCCTAAGAGATCTTGCTGGGTGATTCATTTGGGTTGACTGAGGGCTGCGTAAGCGATATACTGAAGATGTGCCAAGCAGCATTCCTTGATGGGGGAAATTATGTGTTTTCTGGCAGATTCATAAGCTGAGCAATTCATCTGTGGGTTGTTAAGGAGATTGTTGTCTGGTATGTGTGTATACACATGGGAACGGGAATACCAGTCAGCCCAGTTTAATGAATATCCAGAGGAATCTGTTCTTGTTGAAAGGAAACTGCCATCCCAGGCTGATGTTGTGTAAACTCTTGACTCATCACATCAAACTGATTCTTTCTGTGGCCTTTGCAGCAAGGAGAAGTTAGGTCCTTGGACTTCAGAGGCAGGTGCTGCATGGAACACGACCAGCAGAGCAGCCTGTGAACGTGCTTGTCCTTTCCAGACAGGATATTGCACGTGAGAACCACCAAAAGAAAGGCTAAACACGGCTATACCTATAGCCAGCCTTAGGATCAAGCWAACATGCAGGTTATTGCCACAGCTCTCATTACTGGCTTTTCTCTTATTTTGCTACATATATTAAAATAATTATCATAATTAAAAAAAAAAAAAATTCACTTAAGGTGACCCAAGTTGGGGTTACAAGACCCCAGGCACCAAGGGAAAAAAGTGAATTCCAGTCTCACAAGAGATGTAGGATGTCTGTGAGGCCACTCTAGGACAGTCCCAAATATTTCTGGCTTCTATCTCCAGATGTGCAACATGGGCTCAGCTTGGATTTCGTCTCAGTTCTTCCAATTTCATTTAAGAGCTTGCTGTTTGTGCAGATCTGTACCTCTYAGTACAGCTTTCAAATCTGAAACCTCTGCACTCAAAACAGCAGCGAGCTGTAGGACCTGAGCGAGCTTCATGCCCACTTGCTGGTTTATTGTTGCACGTATCTGTTTTGTAGTTTCATGGACTACAGTTCTCGCTTTTCCGAGCTTCCATATTATAATTTTTTCATCCTCCAGTGGGAGGATAAATGAAGTCGGAGTGCGGCAGGCTTCAAAGCCCTTTGACTTACTAAGTCTGCAGTGCTCAAGCACTTTGACTATCTTTCCACACTCATTATGAGGTTACTGTGGCCATGACGTCTTTCACCTTTGCATTAYCCAGCATGGTTTTAGAGATGTTAAAGGGGAGCTTCAAAGAAATATTATTGTTCCTTAATGTTATGGGGAAAACTTGGCTTGGGCGAGATCCGGCCCACAGAGAAGGCATCGTGTTTGTGTTTGCTTCCCAGTCCATYAGCAGCACAGAGGTCTGCAGCCCTCTCACCTCATGCCAAGAGGGTGCGAATGGTAAATGGCTCAGACAGGGAGGGAAAAAAGAAAAATCCCAGTGTGGATGCAGCTATGGCCACCGAGGAGGCGTTTTTCTGGCTGCCGTTGTGGCGAGGATGCGTGCTGCAGGGAGATAAATCCCGCGGCAGGCAGTGGTGCTGTATCTACATAGCTGCAATGGTATGTCTGCAGGGAGGCCTCTGCCAGCTGCTGGACCAGGCCTTTGCTGATGGATGGCTCTTCATGGTGATGCAAATGTAAATATGGGGATTAAAGGCTCCATGTTTGGAAGGCTGCAGCTCTCTGAGCTGCTTCCCAAGAGATGCTGGTGCCTTGGCATGCCAAGACTTTCCTCGCCTGCCTTTCCTCACAGCAGAACGTAACCCTCAAAACGCTCAAGGATAATCAAGAAAGTTGAACTGCCCAGCATCTGCCTGGCTAAAGAAACCAGTTTATGTGGTTAGTCTCTGGTTTCCAGAACCTGACGTCCTTGGCTGCCGGGGCAGATAATGTCTTTCAGCGCCTTTTTGGGCCCGCTCATCCCCAGAGTGCAGCGGCGAGGCCGACGCCGACCCAGGCCCGCAGACCTCCCGAGCAGCTGTGCGAGGCATTTGGTGCCCCGACAGTAAAGACAGGAATGCTTTGAAGAACGGGCTCGTAACGCTGCGTGTCAGCCAGCCCCGGCAAGCGCGGATGTCAGGAAGCTCCTAAGCCCTGGTGATCCCCGGTCCTGGAGCGCCTCTGCCCGCCGCGGGCACACGGAGCCTCCAACCAGCCAGCTCCTGTCTGCACCTCCTTCCCACCTCGCCAGGTTTCCATCTCTGCTTGGCATTTCCTGGGCTTACGGCACCTTGTGGGAAGTTGCTGAGATCTTGCAGGGCCCTGGAGTGGGGAAGTCAGCTCGAGTTATCCTCCAGCAGATGCTTGCAGCGTCTGAGCAACCTCCAAGGCTTTGAGAAGAAAATCTGCTTGTCTCTGACCTCTTATGTTTGCTTTATCACAGATCATGCTTTAGCTCTCTGAGCTCATCAGTAACCAGAGGGTTTGGTKTTTTTTTTAATGAGGATAAGAGGGTACCCAGATCACAACCAAGGGGCCAGAAGTGGCTACATCTTTTTC